TCCTGGCCTATCTATATCTAGATCTGGTAAGATGATACTTGTAGGAATCCGTGGGATCCGATTTTTGGATGGCTGCTTGTGCACTGGTGCTGCCTTACCAGGTCGCATCGATGTGACCGATGACCAGGCCACCTGGCTTCCCTTGAAAATTCGGGCCTGATGCTCGGGAGATGACGGGAGAGGTGGGACCATCAGCTGAACCACCAGTAGTGCTACTTGTAGCAAGTCTGAGCAGATCCGCCGTGGATATCAGCTGCAGCTGAAGACGTGTTAGGATTGTAAAGTGGAAGCCTATGTGACCCGGTGGGGGTTCTGCTGAGGTGCTGCCGACTGTCTTGAAGTTTGCCAGGCAACGCTGACACGAACCAAGAAGACAAGAAGTCAGAGTCTTTGCAGCTGTGGTTGCCAGAAGGTATTATTATGACATCCAGACATTTCACAGCATCGATTGCACGAAAACAGCGCGCCCCTGCCGACAGGCACTTGGGAGCCGTGGAGATTTTCCCCGTGACGCAAATGCATGAGACACCGCAGGTGCATGCCGTCAAAGCCCTTTTTGTGCCAGGGTCGATGTAGACACGTGCATGGATGAGGCACTGACAAAGTTCGTGCTGACATCCTTCCCGAACATCGGCTTGCCGCTAAGCTCGGAGCGCCAAACATGGCTTAGCGTGCATCCTCCAGTGCTGCAGGGAGCACGTGCAACCAGTAGCGATAGTTCAGCAGTACGAATAGTAAGGGCAGGAACTTTCAAGAACGCTCCAAGTCATCGAGAGCTGTTACGCAGCAATGTGGTTTGACTCGCAGGACAGGTCCGCTCTCACATCGTGGCTGAGCCGATCAACGCGCCGTCACAAGGCCACAAGACCGTGCAGAAAGCTATTCGGTCCAGGAAGCAGAATTGGCCGCGGAGGTGCTTTTTGCTATCCCGGGCAAAAGCGAGGAGGCGGGCAGACTTGCGTGTATGGCAGATGCCAGTCAGATCCATGTCCCAGCCGCTGTTTCTGAACCATCATTCCATGTCACTGAGTCACGAAGACGCTTGCAGAAAGTACGCAACACAAGCTGGAAAGGAGAGATACAAGTCGCACCTGGTCCCACGCAAGCTCGCTGCTCGATGGCGGGGTGCCAAGTGCTGAGCAAGTGTGTTGAAACTGTATTGGTGTAGCTTCCAGGATTGCAGTCTCATTGTTGTGCCTCAAACTAATTACTAGGTGCTGTACTTCAACAGGTACCCAGATATAGGGATCCAGTATGATCAATTTCTCCAAGCCATGTGAAACCACCCGTAAGTTCAGTGGCCTGCGAAGGTCCGAGGTGTTTGAGGTTCGCTCGGCCGAGACGGAGCTTCTTCACAGCTTGCCAGCAGCCCAGGAACTTGGTGCTCATTTTGGCTCAGGATTAGGGGTTGAGTCATGTAAGGGTTTGGATTTTCAGTGTGTAGACTCAGTGTAATTCAGTGTAGACTTTCGAAAAATGTCCTCTTTCTCCATGTTCTTCCCTTTGCATCTCGTTCTCTCTCCCGCTTTGTCCGTGTCTCTCTTCCGCTGACTGTACCTCCGTTGTCTCTCTCTCTGTCTCTCCCTCTCTATCGCTTTCTCGCTCTCCTCGACTCTCTCGACTCTCTCGATTCTTCTGGCTTTCTCCTGATTTGTGTGGTGAGCATGTGAGATCCCTACAGCAATGTCCCTGTAGACTTGTTAGTGCTATAGTGCATAAGGTTGAGTTTGAGCAGTGATCAAGGAGCACGCCTAAGCGAGTCATGCTTCGCATCACCTAAGGAGCTCCAAATCAACATATCCTAGCAGATCCAGTTTGCATGATCTCAACATGATCCTTCAACATTCTGGAGACTCCCCATGCGCGGACACCAGAGCTCTCGGGTGCTTCGCAGAGTTTCTGGTGCGCTCACTTCATCTCACGTTTGTCCGCTTCAGTTCTGCCTCTGTGTTATGGATTCAAAAGCTGAGGCAGCTGCCACCCAAAGCAGCCGCCCCAGAATCAAGTTTGGAACATGGCAATTGTTGGTTATGACAGCTGGGCATTGCGATTCTGCAATACTGGGCGACAATTATGACTTCATGATTTACATACATCAAAATGGCAACACGTCTGCCTGGAGCAGAAAGCATGAACTGTTTTCTCATGGAGTACGAGAGCTCAGTCGAATTTGCTGAGCAGCCATGTCTGTTGTTGCCACCGGCTTGTGGCTCAAAGGATCTCTCACATTGATCCATGCAAGTTCTACGCATTGCATGACAGGAAAACATTTGTCTGACTTCAGTGGCCTCGAGCGTTAGCTCCCCTTGCCATGGACAGTCTCTGCCGAGATGGAGAGGCTCACACGCGGCTACTGGGCCGCAAAACCCTGGGTGGCAAGCTCCAACGGGAGCAGAAGTTCCGGCAGGAGGCCGGATGGATCAGAGCATGTCAACAGTCAACATAATATCTTCAACTCCCAAACCCGCCCCGGCATTCTCCAGCATGTGTTGTTATCTTGGAGTCTTTCGCCCGAC